AAATTATTAGAAATAATTTTAGTGATTTAACCATAAAATTTTTATTTAATCAATTAATTAAACTTTTTTAATATATACATTATTATTAATTGTAAATGTTTATTTGTCAATTTAACAAATGTTTTGAATAGTATATTCATCTCCCTTTTAAATTATCGTATAAATTAAACAATCAAATAGAAATATTTTATTATCTTTAGCAATATTACAAAACAATCAATGTATTATTTTCGAATAAAGTCAACCATATTAAGTTCAAAACAGTAAAACTTAATTTTAGTTAATTTTCTTGATAAAAACGATAATTCATAATACGATATAAATCAGTCAAAATAATAATAATCACCCAATAAAAAAACTAATATGAGAGAAACTTAAAATATTTTTTATTTGCTTGTATAATTTACAATTGAAAGGTTTAGTGTACAATTATATCAACACAAAGACATATGTATATTGTTGTATTCTAAAGTAATTTGAAAACAATTTGGTGTTTAATATAAATTATAGTTTTATTTTTCTTCATTTTATCTTTGGTATAAATAATTGTGTTTTGTCATTTTCATTTTGTTTTTCAAAAATGATAATGTTATTTACCATTTTAATGTTTTAAAGTTTTTTCCAATAACATGATCGTTTGGCCGACCCTGATTGAAATTAATGAATATATAAAACCATTTTTTTTATTTTTTTTTTAATTTCAAAGTGTGTAGAAAACAGTGCATGTTATAAGAATTGATTAATTTATATATTAATGAATAAAAACCCAACTACATTTCAAATCAACTTATATTTCATTTAACTAAATATAAAAGATCATCTTTATTTTTTTAGAATGAACGAAAACTTCAACGAGTCACAACTAATAAACAAAAAGATGAACAATTGTTTCATGAAAAAACAATATACGACTTTATTTCACCTTTCTATTTTAATAAAATTATTGAAACTGCTGTTTTTGAAGAAAATAATATTTTTTTAACAATTATAAAAACATATTTCAATTACCAAAACCTGGAGTAGTTGTTGATATCGATGGATTAAAGTGGAGTAACAACATTTATCACCACTTTCAAAAGAAAAACACGTTATTCTCAGATTTTAAAAAAGCAACACTTTTCAACGTTTCGAAACAATTGAAAGGGGTCCAATTGGACAGTTACAAATTATTTCCTCAACTCTAACAAAAACACGACAAACTTTTTATTTACATGATAATCCTAAAAGTTATGAAATGTGGTGTAAAAACGTTTCTGTTAAAACACATTTTGAAATTTGGAAAGACCCCCAAAGAACATCAAACAAATTTCAATTATCAAAACAAAAAGCGCTTTTAATTGCAAATAGGCCAATGGGCGGAGAAAGAGGTCGTAAAAGAGGTCCAAAATGTGGCAATTCAAAGATTGATCTCCAAACGATTGAAGACATTCTTCGAATAATTCGCAACTATCCACAAAAGACTCTGGTTCAAATAGCTGAAGAAGTAAGCGATATAAGAAAACAAAGAGTTGTTTCTATATGCAATTTAATGGAGTTTGACTCTGAAAAAAAATTATTCATGATACAAAAATATCTAAAAGTGCGGTTCATAAAATTTTAAAGAAAAGTGGTTTTACAACAAAACAAATAAAAAAAAGAACCCAAAGATAGTAATTCAATTTTGAGAATTGCTCAAAGATATGTGTATTGGCAACATTTTAATATTTTGATTTCACTTAATTTTTATTTTGTTTATGTTGATGAAGTTGGATATAATACAAATCAATCAAGAACACAAGGAAGATCTATTGAAGGAGAATGTTGTTATGTTGTTTTTCTGATAATAAAG